GGGGGGGGGGGGGGGGGGGGGGGGGCTGTTGGGTCAGTGGGGGAGCTGACCCCCTGTGGGAGCATTTGCTCTCACAGTTATTTCTCCCCATCCCTCACCATGCACCTCCACCCTCTTCATTTCAATTCCATACATTTAGGGTTGTTTGGGCTCGGGTGTGCTGCAACAATTTTACATCTTTGTTGACCATAGCCACCTGGGACTCAATTTTATTGTACACCTTAGACATTCATTCATAACATCCTCATGACATTCATATATAGGAATTTGAGGTGGGCACATGGCTATGGGTGGTGGGATGACCTTACTCTCACCCCCTGTGCCTGTGCTCACTTACAACGGTTGCATTTAGACACTAGGGTTTGGATAGAGTTGGGGTGGAGGGGAAACTGGCACCATGCCAGCCTTTGCTCCTTCTTCTTTCCTTTTTAATGGCACTATACAACAACACACATCAACAGCACATCTAGGGGTGGGGGTGTATGTGTCGGGGTCTTATTTTTATTTATTTATTTATTTATTTATTTATTTCTCCTCTTCCTACCCACCTAGTTCCCTGACTGCCATTCCGGGGGTGGGGTCCGGGAGAAGGGCAGGCCGTCGGGTGTTGACCAGGACTATGTGGGGGTTCAGGGTCTGGGGGTTGCCATGGGCGGTGCTGGCGCTGTGCTCTCCCTGGGGTTGTTTGGACCCCCTGAGCTTGGCTCTTGGGTGCCATGGTTGGCCCGCTGGCCGGGGTGGCTGCCGGGGCCTGGCGGGCGGTCGGCTGGGGGTGCGTGCTTGGTTGTTGGCGGTGTGTGGGGGTGGTCGGTGGCGTGTCCTCTTCATGGTGGGGGGGTGTCCTGTCGGCGGGGCATGGCCTGGGCCGGGTCTGGGGTATTGGCTCTTCTCCGCTCAAGAATGACTGGGTTTACCTCCTGGGTTTGGGCATGGGCTGCCCCCTGTAGAGGGCGTGTACATGTCTTGGACCTGGGGGGTATAGAGTGTGTATCGGGAATAAGAATGAAATGTATCGTTATTGTATGTCTTTGAGTGAATGAATGTGAGATTGAGGTTGGGATAGTGTGATTGTGTATGTGTATGAATGGGTATTTGTTAGGCCGAGACTCGGACTGCCCCCTCTTTGATACAACTGGGGGTGCTTGGCATCGCGCCCCTATCGCGCGGCCCCCTGGTGGGGTGTGCCCTTGCCTGCCGGCGCGCTTGGGGCCCTTGGTATCGGGGGCTGGGCGCTTGGGCGTGTGTCGGCTCGGCCTGGTGTCTGCCTGGTGGGGCTCGGGTCCTCTGGCCCTGTCAGGCCTTGGCCTGGGTGGTGTGAGTCCTCGGTGCCCGGGCCTCGGTGCCTGGACCTGGACCTACATCGGTGCGGCGGGTGCCGACGGAGGCCTATGAGTTTGTCGCTGTTGGCCCCGGGGGGTCACTGTATGTGGTTGCTGGTGGGGATCTTCCGGTTCTCCCCTGTGGTCCCTTCTGGGGGGTGGGTGAGTGGTTCGTCCTGTGTGGGTGGCTCTGGGGGCTCCGCGGTCGGGGTCCCTCCTGGGGTCTTGGGCTCTGGTCCCCCCTTTTTCGTCTGCCTTTGGTCTTGGGGGTCGGGTCTCTGCTGCTTCACAGTTACTAATAAATGTTCTATTAGAGAAGCCTTATACACTTATGCATGCTCACAACCACACACAAATAGAAGCAGGGATGTTTATGTAGGCTTTATATGTAGATATATAGATATGTATGTGAGTGTATATTCATGTGTATGTATGTATGTATGTATGTATATAGGCGTAGGTATGGGTATATATATTTATGGAAACTTACTGCAAAGCCATGAATATTTTAAGTTCTTTATACATATGTATTTTGTTGCTGTGTTTTGTCATGTTCTTTGCAGGTGAACAGACAGTGGCCGGGTGTTTTGACGTGTGCTCTATTTGTATATATTTCTTATATTTTGGAGTCTTACTTTGTCTTTTCTTTCTTTCTATCCTATTAAAAAAAAAAAAAAAAAAACCTACACTAGAATGTCACTATAATAAATATTTCATAATAATGGTGTGGAGAGGATGGCTGTAAGGGGAGAAGGGAGGCCATCAAAAAAAAAAAAAAAAAACCTGCAGCATCTTACAGCGTCACAGTGTCTGCTAAGCTAACATGCTATAGACGTAACTCCTCTCAAACATCCTCCTAACCATGTATATATGTTTATGATCAACCCCCGAGTCAACATCTGCCCGCACAAAGCTCGCTAAACTGGCGAGCGAGTAACGCAAAGGTGTCTCCATCTCCTCCACATGTGCGCGCATTTTCTGCCGAGGCAGGAGGAGAGCACAGAAACACTGCAGGTATTATACCATATTCTGTAACCACCGTATATTGTGACCGTGGCAACAGGCTGCTGTGTTTAGAGTTGGAAGTAACCAGGAAAACCTGGAGTGGAGTTTTAGTGGTTTGAATATTCTCCTATTAATCAAGTGGAATAGATTTGTTCACGAAGAAAGAAACTGCGCCACCTGAACTAATGTTTCATAGTAAAAGTGCGGGGGTCCAAATGAAAGTTTTTTTTTAATGTGGGGGTGACTTGTTCCCTTCATATATAATGGTTGCAACGCCTATGCAGACATGCATCATGGAACGGATATCTCTGCAGGTTAGTTCGGAAAAATCCGATACGTAAATTATGGTGGTATCGGAGGCCAATACTAGATTGGCTCAGCCCCATCCCTAATATAAATAAACTGAACTGAATTGAATTGAAAGAATATCCAGCTTTTAGACAGCGTATGTTCCTATCCAGACAATGTCTTTTTCAGGTAAGGCCTTGTATATTTCACAAAGTCAATGTTAAACCACAATCTGCACCACAACAGCAGGGCTTTGAATAGTTGAAGTGTTCTGGTGCTGAACTGGGCAGACTACAGTCCAGATATCTCACTAACTGAAAACAACAAGATGAAGACCCAGGACTGTTGAGCAGCTAGAATTCTCCCTTAGACAGGAATGGGACAACATTGTGCTCCAAAACTCCATAACTAGTCTCCTCTTGTCCAGTTGTTAAAAGAAGAGTATATGTTTCATGGTGGGGGAAACATGGCCCTGGCCCAACGTTTTGTGTCACTGCCATAAAATTAAAACTTTTTATTCAAAAACATTACCATTTCTTAATTTCAACATTTAATGCGTTTACAATGTTTTATTGTGAATGAAATATGGGTTTATGGATTTGTAAATCATAGCATTTTGTTTTTATTTGCAATTTCAACAAAATTTCTGGAATTGGGATTGTTGTCACGTTTTCTGCTCTGCCTGCCATAGTTCCCTGTTCATGTTTGTTTCATCTCAGCTCCTGTCAACCTGCACCAATCTGCTCATGTAACCACGCCCACTCAGCTGAGTCACCACAATCAGCCCTCATGCAGCTCTCCTGTTGTCACCTGTATATAAACACCACAGCCACATTACTCAGATTATTGAAAACCTTGAGTGAGTAAATGTCCTGCATCCATGCAAAAGCCTTGCCTGCCTTTCATGTTCTCACCCCATGCTTGTCTTCTGGATTCTTCATCTTGCCTTGCCCTTGCCTGTTCTGGACTCTGAAATCTGACCACGGCACTGACCCAGCTTCTGATTATTTTGACTACGTCTCCTGGATTATTCTCTAGATTTGGATTTTGATCTCTGACCAACGGTTCTTGACCCAAGCCTGTTCCACTGGACCTTCTCTCTGAATTTCCCCCAAAGTTGCACTCTGTACTCATTCTCTGCTGCTGCCAACTCACAGTTCTTGACGTCATTCTTCAGAACCTGCAGAAAGACTACACTTTGCTCTCAACTGTGAAGATCGGGCCTGGGCATGGAACCAGACCTCCACCAGTGGCAATTTATTAATAAATCTTTTTAACCATTCCTGGTTTGTTTTGTCGTGCACGAATCCTAAAACCCACTCCTGTCAATTGTACTTTATTTTGAAATCAAAACTAAGTTTACATCTTTTAAATAATAATAATAATTTTTTATTATTATTATTATTATTATTATTATTATTATTATTATTGAGTGGTAGTATTCAGTTTGCTACCAGCCTGCACCTTGATAATTTGAATGTCCCAAAAGTGAGCTTCAGTGCAACAGAAATGGTTAAACCTCAGAACTGAGAGTACTGTGAAAAATAAACAGAAATATTACCTGTATGGTTTGGCTCTGGTACACTTTGATTACATGAAAGTTAAAACTGTAGACTCCTTTTCTTGGGGACAAAAAAACCGATTCAAACGTGAAGTAGTTTCCTATATTCACAAGCACCTGTGGATAAAAACAAAACAACACAAAGGCGTTTATTTATTCAGTATTCAACCACAGGCTTTAATTTCAAAAGGGATTTGCAATATTAAAAGGGGAAATCAGCTGTGAAGAATCTGCTGCAGTCTCCCTTCTGGATCAGACACAAACTGAGAGTGACACACTTCATCAAACATTTCCTTTAAGGCTTCCTCTCAATGGACTTCAAACAAGACTAATGGTTCTATCAGATTTTTCTCTTATATTAAAATCCACTTTTGGTCATAAAGAGATTTCCCCTCCAACTGAAATGAATCAGAAACTTTAGTTTTGTCAACCAGGAACTGTCGACTTGATAAATAAATAAATGTTATATTTTTGCTTGCCATAACTGATCTAACCTGAATATGTCTGTCATCTTCTGCAAACCACTCGACTCTGCCTTATGTCACTAAAAGCTTTTTCCAGCGTGCAGTCACATGACAGCTTCAGAACTTAAAGAAAAAGGTCAAGCATCCTCCTGCCTCTTCCAGTCTGTCAGCACATGTTCAGCTTCAATCTGGATTTTTAATCCAAACAACATATATTTTGCCATGGCAACAGAAACAAAATATTCCACACCAGTCAGATCGTTTACAGAAATGCCTAAAGATCACGATGTGGGACTGAAATCCTGAGGAAACATCGTATTTCGTTTCACTGTTACGCCGATGATTCTCAGATCTATCTGCCTTTAAAACCAACAGTTCCTGCTCCATCCACCCTTTGCTAAAATGTCTTGATGACATCAAGACTTGGATGGCTGCAAACTTCTTGAGTTTTAATGATCAGAAGACTGAGGTCATTGTGTTTAACCCAAGCTCTGCCACTGTCACTGATCCTGTAAACCTGCACTCCCTTCAGCCTCATCTAAAGCAGCCAGTTACCAATCTCGGGGTAGTCTTAGACTCGGACTTTAAGTTTAATAAACAGATCAACTCTGTTCTACAAAAAAGCTTCCTTCAGCTAAGGCAAATAGCAAAGCTTAAGTCCGTTCTGTCCAGATCTGACCTTGAAAAACTAGTCCATGCATTTATTACAACCCGGCTGGACTACTGTAGCTCACTTTATGTTGGAGTTAGTCAGGCTTCACTTTCACGTCTCCAGCTCGTACAAAATGCTGCAGCTCGGCTACTAACAGGAACTCGCAGGTTCAAGCACATTACTCTGGTTCTGTCCTCTCTTCACTGGCTTCCTGTACGTGTCAGAGTTGATTTTAAAATTCTCCTGCTGACATGCAAGTGCATTAACGGCCTTGCACCATCATATCTCTCTGACCTTCTTCATTCTTATGCTCCTTCTCGGGCTTTGAGATCATCAGACCAGCTGCTTTTGGCCGTACCAAAAACCAGGCTGAAGCTCAGAGGAGATCGAGCATTTTCAGTCGTGGGCCCTAAACTTTGGAACAATCTGCCCATCAACATTCGACAGGCCACCTCAGTCTCTGCTTTTAAATCTCTCCTAAAAACACATCTATACTCATTGACATTTAACACAGGGTGATTGGATTTAGATCTAGTTTTTCATAGATACTGATTCTGTTTATGATTTTGTTATTATTCCTATTTAACACAAGGTCATCAGAACTGATTTAGTATTTCATTGTTTCTGACTGAGTTTATGCTTTTTGTTATTATTTCCTTGACTTTTGACACAACGTGATCTGATTTAGTATTTCATTGTTTCTAATTGTTTTTGGTTTTATATTTTTATTCCATGTGCTGTAAATATATCTTGCTGCTTTTTATTTGATGATGTGATATTTTTGTTAAGCACTTTGGTAACAGTTTCTGTTTTAAATGTGCTCTATAAATAAATCTGACTTGACTTGACTTAACTTGAAACTATTTGCGCTGCCCGCCGACGAACGACGAACCTAAGCTGTTTGCGCTGCTTTCTGCACTTTTGGTTTATAGGTGAGCTTTTGGAGAGCGCGCGTACGTGGTAGCCTGGGGCGAACGTGATGCGCGTGTGCGTGTGGCAATGCAGGATGATCATGTTGATCTGGTCACTCTCCGGCCTGATGGGAAAAGTCTGCGTGCGTGAACAGAATGAACAGCCCGCGCGCGTCATGAACTAAACTCTGAGACCTGAATGTCCTGCAGGGAAACTATCAAGGTTCATTACAAATCCTTTAATTAAATTTAAGTAACAAACCTGTTCTGTTCAGATTAATTGAAAGTGAACTAAAAAAAAAGTAGTTTAAAGCTTTTATAATGTAATTAAACTGTTTCTGACCTGATCAAAGTAGATTATTCTCGTTTTGTTGCTCATCTCTGACGGCTCGTGGTTGTTGCTCCGGACCGCAGAGAAAGCCACCTTGGAGTTGGCCGCGCGCACAGAGATGCCGAGCGGAGAGGATGAGGACCTCCAGTCCGTGGCCGGGTTTGAGTCGCACACCACGAGGCATTTCCCCTCCAGGACGATAGGCTCCGTGTCGTTCTGGGCTCGCACGAGCTCGGACATCACAGTCCAGCCGAGCATCAGCACAAGACACTTCAGCAGCATGGCGCTTGTCTTGTTCTCACAGCTCGGATTGGAAGAGAAGTCTCTCCCCCCCCCACCCCCCACCTCCCCCCGCTGCTCCCCACTGCCTGACTGTAAAAAGAGCTCCTATTGAACCCAGAAATTAGCCATATCCCACCGCAACATCAACCAAAAAAGAAATCCTTATTGTCTAATTCTTGTCTCCCGGCAAACAGAAAGCACAGAAATCTGGACGGCACCTGAATGTCTCATTTCCAGGTGTGACTCAGTGGTTGGGGGAAGTGGAGGACCACACGAGAAGCTCTTCTTGTGAGAAAAACCGGGACCAGTGGATAAATCGTCCATATCCTCTCTCCCGCCCCGAGACACGCGTCTGAACGCAGCTGCTCCCGCAGCGGGCGCGCGCGCTGGCTTCCACTTTACGCACGCACGTGTGGCAAGAGATGAACTGTCTCCGAGAAACAGCTATATTTTTCTAATGTTCTCCATATAACACCAGCTCAATAAGTGTTAGATTGAATGTTAATGTGTTTTAATATTTGTGGTTTCAGAGTTGCTGAAGAAGAATTGTTCCGTTTCAGATTTAGGGAAACTCCGAATAGGTTTAACCTTAACAGACTCCCCAAACTCAGCTCAGTCCAGGGGGCTCAGAGTTTCAGTGTAATGAGGTGAGTCATCCTAATCCCCTCCCAGGTGGTATGAACAGCTCCAGGTCCGACCCCCGGTCCTGCGATCCTTCAGTCTGAGCGCACCATGACTTGCTGACATACAATCCAGTTTTCACATTACATCAGAGAGCAGAACTTCTTGCACCCTAAAGATGTTCGCTTTTAGCTGTAAAGGAATAATTCGGTAATTTAAAAGTATACTTCAGTAGAAAGGTTATGACCACTCACTATCTTACCTGCTGTAGTTGTTTTTTTTTAATTCAGTTCAGTTTAAATCTGACAAGACTGATGAGCTAACAACTAGTCAACTGAAGAGAACTGCTGATGTGTTACATATTCTCCAAATTTTTAGAGCAGTTCATGCAAATTTTAAGAAATTTAAAGCAATCATCAAAGTTCATGCTCAATAATGCCGGTAAAAAAAATCCAACAAAGGTCAATCAAGTTATCTGGATGGTTTATTTTTGTGGTTGTTGTTGATATATTTTGTTCTTCATCCAAAGGACTTCATCAGTCTGAGGAGCAGTGGCGACTGGCCAATAGAGGGTGCAGCCCCACTCACCGCTCACCACATTACCTTGAATAAGACATAAAAAATAAATAAAAATGAAATAATAAATTTAAAATATTTCAAGATATATGTATATATTTTTTTAGTTGTGTAAGATAAATATTTTATAGTTAATTCAATTCAGTTAAGTTTATTTATATAGTACCAAGTCACAACAGAAGTTGTCTCAGGGCACAGAATAGAAATATTCATATATAAAAATAAGTCAATATAAACATTCATATTTAAAAATAATAATTTAACATTATTTATCTGAGGAGCAGACTGCTTTGAATTTAACTCCATCACAGAACTCTCATCTTGAGCTTGGTTACTCATGACCCAGGAGAAATTTGATAGTCGGCCCGTCTCCGAGGCTGTCGGGAGTCAGATTTAGATAAGCTTGATTCTTGTTTTTCTTCAGGCAGAGATTACTTTTTCCAGCCTTGAGTCCATCTGGCCATTCTGGTTCCGAAAATGCCTAATTGTGGGATTCCTTTCCACTGATCCATGCTACGAGTCTCCTTCCAGGTAAAACCCACCACGCTGATGAGTCCCAGAAGCCGCAGGTGGCCTGCGATTCTCATAAATCGCCTCCACCTTACCGTTAAGCTCGTAAACCAGATGATTTAAAGTTCCTACTGCACGGACCAAACTTTCACACTGACTCGGAAGCTTTTCCATGGCCGAAACTGCTGCCGATGTCTTCTTCAAAAGTTGATAAAACAGAGCCCCGCCGGTGCCAAAAAGCAGAGTTCCTGATATCATAATTCCAAATATGTAAACGTCTTCACCATCCTCCTGAGACAAAACTGAGAGGCACATCAACTGCCACACTCCCCATGAATCCATGACGTACCCCACAGCGTGAGTCTCAGCTGGACACACCAGTTCTCTAGGACCTTGTCGCTTTGATGAAAAAATCTTATCAATAGATTTGAATGCCCACAATACCAAATCCATAATCTTCTTAATTTATGTTCGGGAGATGTGAACCAGGCACTTCAGACAGACAGAGAGCAGAACAGGAGGAAGGAAAAACGGGGGAGGGATGACAGAAGCAGCCACCTTTATGAGAGCCAGGTTGGCTCAGTTGTAGGAGGAGTCTGTGTGACCAGATGAGCACACATGAACACAGCAACATTGAAACAGATCAGCAGCAACATGAAACAAATCAGCAGCAACATGATGTGAAATTTTCACAGTGATTATTCTGGTTAGAGATTCATGAGTCTAACAGCCTCAGGGTAGAAGCTGTTCCTCAGTCTAGTAGTTCTACACTTAATGCTCCTCAACCTCCTTCCTGACGGGAGCAGGTCAAAAAGTGTGTGTGCTGGGTGAGTGGGGTCCTTCGTGATGCAGGTGGCTCTCTTCCTGCATCTAGAGGTGTAAATGTCTGTGATGGTGTGAAGACTGGCTCCAACAGTCTTCTGTGCAGCCTTCGCCACTCTCTGTGAAGCTGTTCTTTCTGCAGCTGTGCAGCCTCCATGCCACACGTTGATGCTGGAGCACATGATGCTCTCCACTGCACACCTGTAGAAGGAGGTGAGGACTGAGCTTTCAAGACCAGCTCGCCTCAGCTATCTGAGGAAGTAGTCTCTGATGTGCTTTGTTTGTTTGTTTGTTTTTTAACATGATGACAATATGCAATTTTAGTTGAAAGACATTAAACACAAAAGAGATTAGGATAAAATAGATAAGGATAAAAGAGTATAGGATAAAAGAAAAATAAATACAGCATAAGCAATGAATTGGCAAGACTGCAACAGTAGTATAAAAAAGGTAAATGGTAAGTGGACTGTACTTATATAGCACCTTTCTATCTTATCAAGATACTCAAAGCTCTTTGCAACACAAACTGTGCTCTCATTTATCAATTCATACAGCACTCTACTAGATCTATGCAAAGATAATCTGAATCTGTAGAAACTAATCAACGATTTTAGATCACATTCATACACCAATGTAACACACCTCAGAGGCAATGAGGGGTTCAGTATCTTAAAACAAATAAAAATGAGAGTGATTAACACAGTAACAGTGACAACATTTACTTAGAAAATGATAAATATAAAAAAAAACTTGCTTCATGCTTTAATTGCAGATTGTGATAAACAAACATATTCTTTATTCTGTGTAATGGTTTCAGAGGAATGGAACTAGGAAAGCAGACCAACATGAAGCACTTGAATAAAAAAAGTGAACTTTTGTTATAACAAAAGAAAAGCTGACGTGGCTGCAGAGGAAAAAGTCCCAGGGAGGCACAAGAAGAACCAGACCTGGTATGAAAGCTCAACAATGCTCGACTGAAGTCCCAACAAAAAATAACAGAATATAAAGATGTAGGCTTATGAGATTGTGAGAAGTGCTATGTTGACAGAACAGGATGAAGAAGCAGAAACTGACTGAGGAGAAATGACTGGAACAATGAAGCATTTAATTGTGTAGCAATAAGAAGGGTGTGACAGATGGAGGAAGAAGGCTGACACTTCCTCCACTCCTTTCCACTCCTTTTTTTTTCATTCATTAAAGTGGGGCACCAGCTGGTCAGTTTACTGACCAACAACAACTTCATTAATATATTTACCCTTTAATAATCAGAATCAGTCACTGAAGTTGAATCCGTTAATTACAGGGAGTGCTATACCAGAACAAATGAATATTCATCTAAATGAAGAGACGAAAGTTGTCTTTTTGAAGTGTTAAGTTTGACTATTTTAATAAATAGTTTACTTTGGATTTTGGTTGAAAGAAGTTATTTAATCTGATCATATAAAGTCATTTATCATCACTGCAAGCCAGGAAATGATTTACCAAGTTGCATCAGCTTAAAATAGCATAACCAGACCAAGGCATCATGTCACCAGGCTCTGCTCCTTACTGGGTCAGTGTTGAAGGAACCAGGTCACTAGTCTTTCTGGGGTTCTCTGGTGGATCAGACCAGGATACACCATGAGGAGGACTCGCCGGGAACTGCCCAAGGTAGCTGACCGTCACTGTGACAGCTTTCTGGGTCTATGAGGGCAACATCTGATGAGAAGGTGCCCTCCATCACAACCTTCAGCCAAGAACACGAGTCTTGCAGTGAGAAAAGGCTTCATCTTCTGCAGTTATTTACTTCTAACAATTGTAATTTGAGCGACATGTTTATCTGCTCAGGAGTTGAACGAGTGGACCTTGGCATGACCTCTAGGATCGGGTCCAAAGATGAACCGCCTTCTGGTTCGGGGCTAGAGACGATCTCTCTGCATTGGGAGTCCAAAATGAATCACTCAGTTCAGGGGTCCACGGCGAACTGCTTTTCACACAAATTATCTTTGTGCAAAAGAACAACTCTCTGCTCAGGATTATTTTGACTACTCTCAGAGACATTGTGACTTCCCTCTGAAGCAAACAGCTTCCAGCTCAAAGAACATTTTCACAGGTGTCTCTGAAGGAATAATCACTTTCTGAAAACAGAACAGAGAAATATGTTATTCACATTGTAATATTTCACATGATTTCATTATAATGATTGAAAATAACAATCCAAATTAAAGCTGCAAGCAGCATTGAAGGCACTCGCAGCAAAGCGCAGCTCTGGCCTTACGGCGACCGCGGGGCTCCAGTGACTACGCCCGGTTTCCATCGCGAACGCTCACGCTCCCATCACGCGCCCTTTGACTGGAGTGCACATTCGCTGAACTTTCGACATCAGTCGTGACCGTGGGCGCTCCAGCAATGCCTCCCAGTCGCAGTCACGAAAGCTCTCATGCCATTCCCGCACATGTCCACCAGGGTGCGCATATGCCTAAACTTTGCAA